GCGAAGGCTGAATGCAAGTGGATGATGGCAGGGGGCTGTGATCCCTCTGTCCTTGCCCCCAGTTGGTAAACCGTCCCCAGGGACTGGCGAGGGTTTAGCTTTCTCCTGGCCTCCCAAACCTAGAAACAAATCAGATACCTTGCAGGAAGGGCATGGCTGAGGGCAGGGAGGATGAGCAGCAAAAAAAAAGCAGAGTGGGACCATGCTTTCAGCCCTTTCCGTTATCCCAGCTTTCTCTGCTTGTTTGTCTCATTGATCCCAAATCCTGCCTGACCTGGGCATCGGTGCAGCAGCATCATGCAGGATGTGCATCTCGGAGACACTGAGGTCTCTGGTCCTCTATTGCTGGTGCCCCTGAGGATGCCAGGGCCTCAGGGCAGCTCAGGGATGCAGGGACATTCCCCTTCTGCTGATGCAAACCTTCCCCAAACCATCACAGCCCCATACAGGGCTTTGGGTGCACACTAGACAAACACCCCTCCAGCCAGCACCGAGACAGCCGTGGTCTTACCAGCTCATAAATACCATTGTTTTTAACCCATACACCTATTTTCCTATTTTGTGCTTGCTGTCCAGGTAAGGATCCTCCGGGGAAAGGAAATGTGCTGTAAAAACCCATAGAGATTGGAGCCAGATGCTGGGCGTTTCCTCCAGAGCTCGCGATCTGCGATTTGCTGCTGACAGCCTGAGCTGGTGCGAAGTTATTAAATTGCAGATGAGCTCATCGCTTGGCCTCGAACAAGTTTCAGCCTTGAGTGGCTTTAAAATATTACATGTGGTGGGAAGAGACGATGCTGGTGTGGCAGAGAGATTTAGGGAGCAGCTGAGAAAGACATCTGTGCACGAAGAATGCTTACGGGGAGGGAGGAGGGGAAGCTTCCTGTGAAAAATGTGAGCTCTCCCAGGAGAGAGACATTCTCGGATTTGTTGGTTCTATATTTGAATTTTAGCTGAAAACTGTCAGACTTCTGAGATGCTCGAAGGGAGGTGGCAAGATGCTAAGCCTGGCTTGATCCTGAAAGATCCCGGTGTGTTGAGAGCTGCGTGTGTGGAATTACTCCTGCCTAGCCCCATATTCGGCCCCCTTGGTACTGCGTGTTGTTTGCCAGTGATGCTATATGACCGTGGGCCAAATCCAGCTCTGACCTCATGTCAGATTAATCCTCATGTTCAGCTCTACCAGACTGGGCAGGTAACAGCCACCCTGCTGTTGGGAGAGGGTGTTCTCTCCCTGGAAGAGTGGGAGCTGGCTTTGGGGGTCTCCCTGCACTGTGTTATCTGCAAGATTGTTTTTTCTCCCTTTTTTCTCCTCTTAAAAAGGAGCCCATGCTCCTGAACCCACCCAGTTCTGCATAATCACTCGTGGATCCACACAGTGCTGAAATACAAGAGGAAAAAGTCTTGAAGGATGGAGATAGTTTCTCCAGCCTAATTAAAACCAAACCTGCTTGAGCAGCACTGCTGGGCTCACATGGCTATTGCAGTGCTGCTCCTGGGGAGCTCTGTGCATGCAGACATCTCAGTCCCAGCTCTCGACCCTCAGATGAATTCATTATTTTAAGTGTCAACTTGGTAGAAGCTGTGGGATAGACTGTAAATAGAAATAGATAGGGATGCTTTATTTTTCAAACAAGGTGTGTTTGCAATTGGAGCCTTGGTTGCTTGATTGTTGTGGCCACTTGGATTTGTTGTTTTGGGGCTTTTTTGGGTGCTCCTGGGGAGGGTGAACAGCCCCATGCATGTGGGTTTTCAACTGTCTTGGCTTGCTTGGGATTCTTCTGTACCAAACAGTGTGTCTGCAGCCATCAGCAAAGCCTTGCACTTGGTGCCAGAGGGATACTCCTAGCAGTAACAAGGTTATTTAGGTTTGTGAGTATCTTTTTTCCCTTCTTTTTTTTTTTTTTTCTCTCTCTTTTTTTTTTTTTTTTCTTTTAAACCAAGTAAAGATGCTTTCTTACTGCCATGTTGATTTTGGGCTTCCTACAGAAGTAGCTGTACCCAACCCTTCTGCACTTGTACTTTAGAAGTTGCATTTATGGAGCAAGGCCTGGGTTCTGCGTTGCCTTATCCGTGACACAGATTGGAGATGGGCTCCTTCCTCGTGTGTGTGGGACTTACAGCATCTCATGGAGCTACTTTGCTTAGCTCTTTAAGGGAGATAATGCCTTGGTGTGATCCTTTCCTTTTAAATACATCATCTCTAAGTGCAAGTGCTTGTGGTTGTGGGTGATAAATGCAATTTGCGCTTGTGAGATGCTCTAATGTCCTCACATGACAAGATCTGCAGAAGTGCAAAATGCTCAGTAAATAACAAGTTATTTGTAGAGACTGTAAATAAGAAGAGAGCCAGGAAGGACAGATTTTTGCAGGATGATCGTGAATAAAATTACCCCAGCCTTGTGATGTGTGTCTGGCACTTTCCAGTTTTTACTGAGTGCCTTAGCCAGACTGCAACTCCCACAGGGTCAAATAGCACCTTCCTGCTACCAGCACCTTATAAATAACTTCACGTTTCACTTTCCCAGCTTGGCACAACAGCACCTGGCCCTGGGGTTCCTATCCTGTGGATTTTCTTTGCAGCCACTTGGTTTTCCCCAAGAGGACCAGAGCACCGCGTGCTTTCTCCTCCAGGCATGTTTCTGGCATTGCTCATTCCTTCTTTGCCTGAAACTTCCCTGTTGTTTTTGCAGCTCAGCCCTTTCCAGCCTCAAATTCTTGGTAGGATTGGACCCGGTTTGCTTTGCTGGCACCACCACTAATCCCTGCTGGGCTGAACCACCCCGGGTGGTTTGTTGTAGCTGACGTTCAGCCTTGCACGGGGTTAAAGATTTTAACATCAACCTGTTAGCATTCCTTTCGAGACACTAAGCACCCAAAACACCAGCAGATCTCTTTGCTCTGGTTTGCACAAAATTCGGCTGCGGTCGCTCCCAGACCTGCTGCTCCGGCTCAGCCTGTTGGGGCTCTCACATGTGCCAATGCTGCAGTGTGGAAGCCACGAGGGTGGATGTCTCTTCCCTGGCCCTGGTGTGGGATCCCTGCTTCCTTTCCTCCAGAATTCACCAGATGCTTGTGGAGAGGTGGATTATGAGCACTGAGCTTAAGGGTCTTGGCAAGCTGCTTAGTTCTGGGGGTGGCAGGAAGGAAATTTGGGGAGGGCAAGTTGGCAATGGGGCTGTCTCTGTGGGCTTATGGTTTCCTGTGTATGGGATATGTAGGGGGACAGCACCAGGGCCATGTGGAGATCTTTGCCTGCCCCAAGCCAGCCGGCTACAAATGGCAGGCATTTCCACCCCCAGAGATGTGTGTGTGTTCAAACATCACAGCGTTGTCAATGCCAGGTGCCACCAGCTATGTGAAAGGGGGACTTGGTATTTAATGGAGTTGTGGACAAATCTCCAGCGTGGCTCTTCTCAGGGATCAAAAGCCGTTTTCCTCAGTGCTGGTGGAGGTATGCATCAGAGAACTTCATCACTGCCTGACTTTTGGTGAAGAGTTGAAATGATTCCTCATTTCTGCTGTATTTTGGTTCAGGAAAAGCTCAGAACTAGGCCAGCCCACCAGCTTACAAATCATCTCCCGTTGCCAGTGAGGGCCTGGAGGGCCAGGGGTTTGGATTTCCCACAGAAAGGTTCACATTGATGTGATGTTGATGGTCAGTTCTTCCTCGTCAAGTCACATCTTCACCAATTCAGCGTTGGCTGCCTGTTAATCACTGCCACGAGGTTTTGGCAGCGCAGGGCCTCTGTCGCGCCAAAACACGTGGCGGGGTGGCAGGCCGCTCTCAGCAGTGGTGTGTCCCTGCCCGCTGAACCTCATCATCTGGAAAGTAAATGCTTTGGGGTAGCCATGGTGTTGTCCTTGCTGTGGGGAGATGGACATGTTGCCCACAGGAGAGGTGAATAGGACCTACAGGCCCTCGTTTCACTAAATCCTGTCTGGGCCAAATAGAAGGGGCTGCCTCCGGGCTTCACTCTTCACGAGAGGAAACAGGCTTGTGAGGAGTGACACGGAACAGCCCATTGCTGTCAAAAATAAAAGGCTAAAGGGAAAAGGCTTGCTCAGGAAGGCCAGGCTAGAAATCAAGCCCAGCCCTGCTGGAGCTGTGGTGTCAGCTGGGTCTTGAGTCACGTCTGCTTGCTGCACTGGCCCTGGCATGGGGTTATGCTGTGGGGTGGCTGTCAGACCTCATTGCAACCCTACATTCATCTGAGGGCCATCCTGTCCCCTGATCAGCTGCTGCTGTGGAATAAAACTACAGTGGAGCTGAAATATTTGAAGTAAACAGAGTACACTACATATAACCCTTCCTCTCCTTGTCCCTGTGCGCTAATGTATTTCACAGAATGACGAGCTCTCTGCCAAAATTCCTCAGATTATGATGTCTCAGGATTGAGAATCAGAGAAAATAGTCTTGGAGGGGTCCTCAGGAGGTCTGACCCATCCCCAGGGCAGGATCAGCTCGATCGAAACTGTTCCTGACACTTCCTTATCCAGTCTCCAGCGGCAGAGCCTCCACCCCTTCCCCAGCCAGTCTGCTCCAGCACTTCGCCATCCCCACAGCCCCTGGCTTTATCCTTCTGCAATTTGAGGCTCATTCCTTCCTCCTTATGCACAGCAGATGCAGAGCACAGCTATGCTATGGCTGTTCTCTGGTTCCAGTTTCACACCGGCCAAGTGTCTGTGTTTGCTGGAGTCACCTATGATTTTACCTTGTTGCACACCTGGTGTCTGCTCAGTGGGTTTTTGGCTTGTGATGGGCATCGAGGTGTTGGATCTGCAGCCCTAATGCCTCTGCAGAGCAGATAAAGCACAAGGAGTGCTGCTTTCCCCAGGGTGACATGTTCGTGTGCCCCTTCCTTGTGTTGGGTGGTGGTGGGGATCACTTTCTTCTTGACTTCTATGTGGGGACCACCACTGCAGGCTAATCTAAAAGGTTTGTGCTAGCCACTGGCTTTAGTAGCACATCTAACACTGCTCCTTTACCCTGTCTCCTGCAGGATTTAGGAATGGAGTCGACCTCTCTGGATGATGTCCTCTACCGATACGCCAGCTTTCGAAACCTGGTGGATCCGATCACTCACGATTTGATCATCAGCCTTGCTAGGTACATCCACTGCCCCAAGCCGGTAGGTACCACGGCATCGTCACATCCCGTAACCGTGCTGCTTTGGGAAACAGCTCCACTGGGAGCGTAGGGCTTCACCCAAGGCAAAAGGCTTTCTATTTACTGCGATGCTAGTGTGTTTTTGGAGAGAGGAGACATGCTCAGAGATCATGGTTAGACTGCATGATATTGGGCTTTTCAGCTATCTTGGTGACATTAACCTAATGTGAGTACTTTGGGTTGTAGCACTTAGTTTTGCATGTTATTGCTGCTTTCTTTGGCTTTTTGTTTCTACGTTAACAAACTTGCCGTGTTAGAACACTTTCTGCCTTGCAAGGACAGCAGACCCTTCCTTGCCCTTGTGCAATATTTATTGTGACCCCAAATGACAAGGGAGTCCTTGGCTGTGCCTGCAAGGCCAGGTTGCCAAAAAAATGCAGCCTCTGTGGGCTGCTGGTTGGGCTCTGCTGTGAGCAGGTTTCACTGCAAGCACAGCCCCATGCAGATGGGGGATATCAAAACTCTTGGCCTCGTTTGCTCCCTGGCATCAACAGCAGCATACAGGCTTTTGGAAATCCCAGGCTGGCTCTCTTCTCTTCCACAGTTAATGTGACTTCGCATCGTGGCCACTGGCTGTTTGGATAATTAGGGTTTGTTCTCTCCCCAGGCTTTCCTTTTAAATCAGCAATATTGTTGGTGTCTGATTCAGAGCAGTGTAGGCTCAGAGTGGTGCGAGATGTCTGATAGCTCCAAACACACTGGATAAGGGGGAGGGGGAACGGGGGAAGACCAACAGCTACCAAGCAGTGATTGCAGCAGACGTAGGTGGCATCAGATCTGGGGGATGTTTTAATCTCCCCGTCCCCCTGTGCTGCAGTCGCTCTCCTATGAGCCTGGGAGGATGGCACAGCTCCGTGTGCTGTCCTGGCACTGCAGGCATGGAGACATGTTGTGCATCAAAGATGAATTGGGTGCAAACAGATAAAACATGCACCTTGCAGAAGAAATTGTTTGCTTCTGCCAAATGCTGTGCAGGCTGAGCAAGAGCTGTGGTCAGTGATGCTCACTCGGCTCCCCTTAAAGTGTTTCCTCCCAAAAAAAGGCATTTCTGTCAGTGTTTTTCTTATCTGGTCTGGACACAGGTCAGAGCATGGTGGGGGGAGCTGAAGGCTCCTCTGTCACCGTTCTGTTTCTCTTCTCCCCTGCACGTTGCTTGTCAGGGACTCAAGCTGAATTTAAAACAATGGAGTTGTAGGAAGAGGCTGAGCGTTGTTTTCTGGTGAGCACAAAGGAGGGCTTACAGGGCTTCCTGGTGGGATGGCTCCATCCTAATAGCTTCCTTGGGGGTGTGGGAGCACTGTGGCTTCCCTGAACTTGCCATCTGGGACCCATAAGCTACTAAAAAGCTCCCTGTGCTCCAGAGGAAGCCCTTCCACCCCCATACCCTGCAATTTGCTCTGCTCACATACAGATGTGGTGGAGCTCTGTTTGAGGAGCACCAGGAACACAACATCAGGAGGGTTTCACACCTGATATTGACAGGGTCATCTCCTGTGGCATGTAGGGTGCAGCCCTTCCTGTGCCCCTCCTGGGGGGCAGCAGCACCATGGCTTGGGGGGACATCAGAGCAAGACCCAGCCCCTCTTGGGGACCACGCTGTGCAGCCCTGATATTTTCCTTGATGCTCCTGCAGGGGCCTTGATACTCCTGCAGGTCCCAGCGAGCTTATCAGGCCTCTGAATTTCTGCCAAGAGTCTGCTTGTTGCACTCCATATCCTTGGACTTGGTTGCAGAGGGGGGGTCTGTTGGATGTTTTTTTCTTCCTGGAGGCAGCAAACTCAGCGAGAGCTTTTCTGTTCTCTCTGCTGCTGAACTGCAAGGAGCCTGTGCAGCACGGGGTCTCTTTGTCCCCGTGAGATGCTGCTCGCTGAATGCACGTGGTCCTCATCATCTCTCGGGGTCTGCACCCCTCCAGGCAGTGGCTCTGGTGGCTTCTTGGTGCCAGCAGTCCCCAGTGAGGCTGCTGCAGTAAATGCTGACAGGTGGCCAGCGTGCGAGCGGTGACAGCTGTGTTCACACAGCAAAGAAAACATTACAGAAAACGTCACCCCATCTTTCTGTGCAGCTCAGCACGGAGCCCTGGGGTTCTGCAGGCAGCTGCTAAGCCCCAGAGCATCCCCTGTGAGCATTGCCTTGGAGAGGAGAGCAGGGATTGTGCAGGTGGCAGGCGGCGAGTCCAGCAGCAGGACGGTGCTGCAGCTCCTGCTGGGCCTTGCTCAGGGTTTGGGTGCCACCGGCTGGGCTTTAAATCGTCTTTCGTTTGGCAGCTCAAGATGCTGGGTGAAAAATAATTTCATCCTGGTGCTTGGCTGTGGTTTCCTGAGACACCGAGTTGCTTTTTGTCCCCCATCAAGCTCTATGTCTGAGTCACCTGGGTTGTTTTCCAGCATCCAGTCCCTTTCCCCCAGAGCTTTTGCTCTTCCCCAGTTTCTTTGGCAGAGACTTGGCAGCACAGCATGAGAGCAGGGGAAAGCTCCGGGCCAGGGGCGCTGCCGAAGGTTTGGCTTTCGCTCAATCTGCCAAAGGTTTGCTGTTGCGTCCCGAGGCACAAATACGCGTGAATATATGGGATGAGGTAGCTGTGAAGTTGCCCACATCTAGAAGGAGGTGGAAAAAACAGGGCTGATGTGGACCCTGGTGGCTATTAAATAGTTGGGAGCGATGGGGTCTCGCTTTCGTCCTGGACAGAGCTCTTCCCTGGCTCTCTGTACATTGCTCTTTCCACTCAGCCTCTATTTATACCACCTTAGCTTAAAGGTGACCCCTTGGCTTCTCCCCCGAGCTAAAATAAAAGCTGAATGGTTTTTCCAAGCGCTGGGTAAACACGTAGTGCTCTGTAGGGCCAGGAAAAGCTGGCCTGAGCTGTCCGACGTGGCTGCTGCTCAGCACAGCTCCGGGGATGCTCATTCCAGTGAGCAAATTCAAACCAGCAGCGAGGCACGAAACCCAGTTTGTGACGGATGGGGCTGGAGTGCTTTGAATGAGCATGAGCTTGGAAATCGGGTGAGCCCTCAAAGGGACACCTGAGTGTTTGGTGCAGAGGCTGGGCCGTGTGCCCTGTGAGGTCCCAGCCTCCTCGAGGTGCTTGAGGTTGGGTGGATTTTGTGAGAGGAGCCCCAGCATCGTCCTTCTCCAGGTTACCTGCAAGTGCTTGGGGTTACTCTGCCCCTCGGTATAGATGGATAATGCTGTTCTACTGACACTTGCATACGATCAAAGACATTTGAACAAGTGTTTCCTTCCCCACAGCCGTGACCCTGGGGCTCTCTTTTATCTTGCAGTCTCTGTTTCTCCACGGCACCATGGCAGGGAGCCCTGGTTTCTGCTGCAGGCACTGCCAAACACCACGGCGTGTGTCCCCACCGGGTTAAGGAGGTGGTTGTGGTGCTTTGGGCGTTCTGGTGTGATGTCTGTCTGTCCAGGGTTGTCCTCTGAATGGGGAAAAGGGACAAAATGTAGAGGCAAACAAAGCCACGTGGTATGGGACAGAGCTGCCTGATGCCCCTCATCTTCCCCACAGCCATTTAAATTTGCAGTGAGAGGTGTTCCAGGCAAAGGAGCTGAAGACACAAATGCAAAAGGAGCAAAGGGCCCCCTGCAAAAAAAAAAATAAAAAAAAAATCAGCTCTTTTTGCCAGCAGGAATATCTGGCTATAAACTATTGGAAAATTAAAGCGGTTTCTTTTTCCACAGACTGCAGCCACATGTATGGATGACTGATGACCGTGATAGCGAGTGAGTCAGGCTTTCCCCCAGCTTGAGGACTTGTTGGACGTGGGATAAGCACCGAGCGGGGCTGGGGGGAGAGCAGAATGTGAAGCTTTGGGCAAAAGCTGCTTTTTCTCCTTGCAGGCTTGGGGTGCTTGATTGCTCCAGCTCCTACAGGTTTCGGGGAGCAGCCAGGGAGGTGTAAGCTCGTCCAGAATCAATGCAAAGTGAGATGTTGGCTTTGCTCATCCCCGTCCTGCAGCAGGTTTCTGCCAGTGGTGGCCAGGGCAGGGCTGGTGGAGCAGCTGAGCAAAACCCCTTCCCCAAGCCCAGCTTGGCCTGTCTGCTCTTCTGCAACCCACTGAGAAGACAGGTGGAAGATGAAATCCCATTTGCTTGTAGGGTACTGGATATGGGCAAACAGCTCGGCATAAAAACTGTCCAACAGGTAATGTGGTCCTTTGTCTCCTCGCTGAAAATGCAGAGGTGATGTGCTGGGCTGGGACGCAGAACTGGGTTTGCCCATGTCGGCGTGGATAGAGCGAAGACCTATTTTGTTATTCACTTCTGTGCCATTTGAGAACCCATGCTTAATGCTGGTCCTGGCTCAGATTTCCTGCTTGAGCTCTGAACTGATCAGGTTTGCAGCGTGGGTTTGATTATATGGCTTGTCACCCATGAAAGCAAGAAAAAAAATATATGAAGTAGTTATCATGACCTGGTTGAAACGGTCTATTTCTAACCCTTCTTCAGCCCTGGGGGATAAGGATTTGACTTACAGATGATGTTAGGTTTTTATGCCCTGCATTTTTAAAACATGTAATTTCTGATGGAGCTGTACAGAAAGTAACATGAGCATTTTTCCTCTTATTTACAGCCCTGTGTGCTGTGACACGTGGCTGAGGCTGTATTAATAAGCTCAGCTTATACAGGGTGAATATAACCAGGATACCGTGACCACTAGCTCAGTGCCTTTATCCCAAAACCAAGCTCCTAATCCAGCTCCTTCACCACGTATGTTAGTATTTGCTCTTGAATTCAAATTATCATTCCAGGTTTCTGACATCACACTTATTTTTGCAGCAGGACAAGCTGAAATGACAGGTACGAAGCGATGACATGTTGGGGGACACTCAGGCAAAAACCTCTAAAACCCCAAATACCTGATATAAAAGCAAAGGGGGTGATGAGGATTCAGCTAATTCAACTGTGCTCTGTATTAATGGCTCAGGTTTTTTTTTTGCCAGTCTTGTT